AGCTATTGGCCTAAACATAGGTATTTAAAAACTGAAAATGCACTATTTAAGGTTATTTTAAAACATAAAAAATACAATGTATAGAATTACTACATACCTGTTATTGACCTATCCATCTATAAAAAATATTTTTCCCTTAGTTACTCACCCCTAAGTAATTAACCAAAAACAATAAAAAATAGTCTATTTTAAATAAACTCAAAAAAGGTACATGTATATTACATGTAAACAGTATTTAAATCAAATTATTTGCTGTCACTTACCACAACTATTTTGTTATTTTTTTTTTTTGTAGGTACAAATATTTCTACAGGAGAAGAAGTAGCCATTAAATTAGAATGTATAAAAACGCGGCATCCCCAATTGCATATAGAATCCAAAATTTACAAAATGCTTTCAAGAGCWCGTAAGTTACAACATAAATTTTTCAACTATATCATTGTATTGTTATTTTTAATTGCTATTTTTATTTTAGCTGGAATACCTATAATAAAATGGTGTGGTTCCGAAGGAGATTACAATGTTATGGTAATGGAATTACTAGGTCCGTCATTAGAAGATCTTTTCAATTTTTGTTCCAGAAGATTTTCAATAAAAACTGTGCTACTATTAGCTGACCAATTGGTAATTATTTGTGATTCAAACAAAATATATAATATAGTATTTGAACAAGATTTAAGAATATTTCATATCAATAATTAATCTATGTTATTTTTTATTTTTAATATATTAATACATTAACTTATATAACATTTTGAGGTCATTAGCCTGGGTTGTTTTAGTAATTTATAAGTTTTATTTCTATAATTTAAAATACGGTTGGGTAGAAAATGCGTATGTGTGGTGAGGATTTATCACTAAATACTAGAGTGGTCACCCATACCGGAACTAGTGTCACCTGCTGATGCTTGATCTAAGAACTTATTAGTGACTAAGGACAAACATCAGTACTCTACGCCATACATGGRCCATCGCATAATTTTTTATTATCTTCAATTTTTACTTTTCTATAAGTTAGTTATTTTATTAACTTATTCACATATGTTAATGATAAACATCAAACATTAATGACTAATCAGATATTTAACTTWTTTTTATACATTAAAATCATTTTTTAGGTATCTAAATATTTATTTATATGTTAATAAATGTCTACATATAAACTTTTTTTCAAATAATTCAAATCATAAATTTTCTTTTGTATCTTGAATACTATTTGGTAATACTTTCTTAAAAGTTGGTCAAACATTGAAATATGCAAACGCTCTGCTGAGTGGTCTCTGTTAAGTTATTGTATTTACAAGTATTTGCATTGAGTAGTTCACTGTAATGGATTTATTAGATTTAAACTCAATGATAAACTATTATATGCTATAATAAACAATTCTGAGTGAATATGATCCAACTTTTTGGCAACCAAGGTTACCAATCAATTTGAACAATATTTAAGTTTTAACAAATCTCATTCACGGGAATAAATCTATAATAAACTAAATGTATGATTTTATAATTTTGGTATCCCTGGATTCAGAAAAACTTCAACTGTTTATTTTTAAAATCTCCATCATAAAATAATCTTTCTAGGTGTTACCGACTATAAATCATTGATGAAAAAWATCCCTATGCAATTTTTTTTCAAACGCTTTTTGTGTTTTCTAAAAACTACGCTTTTTTCACCTAGGGGGTTAGTTCCCGTATACAATAAAATGTTATTATTTTTTTATTTCATAACTTCCATTATTTTGAAAAGTTATTTTTTACTTTTATACTTTTTACGCTCCATTCAAACCAGATGCATTTTTATTCTATGAAATGTGTCTTAAGACAAAAAAAAACATACCATAAAATTAATACATTCTTCACTCCAGAATAATCAATGTCTAATGATTATGTTTTTATTGTTTTTTTTCTAGYTGGATAGAATAGAGTATATACATAGTAAAAACTTCATACACAGGGATATCAAGCCAGACAATTTTCTAATGGGCTTAGGTAAACGTGGCAATTTGGTGTATATTATAGACTTTGGTCTTGCAAAGAAATATTGCGACAGCCGAACCAATGAACATATAATGTATCGAGAGAATAAAAATCTCACTGGAACTGCTCGATATGCTTCCATTAATACCCATTTAGGAATAGGTAATTGTATGTGGGTGGGTGAATTATATTTTCATTAATTTGTACTTAAATATTTAGAACAAAGCCGAAGAGATGATCTAGAGTCTCTTGGTTATGTATTAATGTACTTTAATCGTGGTTCCTTGCCATGGCAAGGTTTGAAAGCAGCTACTAAACGACAAAAATATGAACGTATCAGTGAAAAAAAAATAGTAACTTCATTTGAGGATTTATGCAAAGGATATCCAAGTAAAATAAACTCAAAATCCCAGTAATTATATCAGTATTAATCATGTATTAACATTCTAGATGAATTTTTAACATATTTGTTATATTGCCGTGCATTAAGATTTACCGAAAAACCAGATTTTACTTATTTAAGGCAATTATTTAGGCAGTTGTTCCATCGTCAAGGGTTTACGTACGACTATATTTTCGATTGGAATATGTTAAAATTTGTGAGTATTCGTTATGTATGGAAGGTATATTCTATAATATGTATTTATTTATAAAATTACCTAGTTTCAAATATGATAAATTTAATGTATTGTTGAGTTAAGTTTTTAAATAGAATAACTTCCATTCTGCATTTCAGCTACTGTGCTTATTTAAAAAATTTTGAGAGGATTTTATACCCACATTTGTTTTCTCTTTCTACTCATAACACAAAATTCTATGTTAAAAAAATCTGTTTTACTTAAGAGTGAAATAACCTATTATCAGATTGAAAGATAAGAATAACATCCAAGGCATTCTAAAAAGGATTTTTATATTTTAATTTTAAAATGTTCATAGCTTGCTTCAAAATTAAAATACCATAAAATGACGTGGGGTTTTGATTTTGTCTTTAAATTTTAARCTGATCATTTCATTGACATTTTAAAAATAATAGAGTTAGTAAAATGTGTAATGCTGTTATCGAAACTTAAGAGCACAACATTCTTTTAAGATATTTGAATCCAACATATATAGAGCTTACCACTTTTACTTTAGTTGTAATAGATTGAATTGTTAATAATATATTAGGGAGCAAATGGTGCTCGATACAGTGGGTCAGATGATCAAAAAAATGCCTCGCATCAAGATAGCAGACGTGCAATGCAAGACAGTAGCTCTCCTTCTACTAATGTTGTACCACTAAATAGTCGCGCTCAAGCTGATCAAAGTGGAATAAAGAATTTTTTATCCAAAGTTCCTCTGGTACCAATGGATAATTGTTCGGGTATATATCAAATATTAAATTAATAATACTGTATTGACATATTATAGCTACCTTATTTATTTAAAAAAAAATGAATTAGTGTAAGACTATATAATTACTAATATGCTGGTATTATTGGTTTTAATTTTATTAGGTGGTGGTGTTATTCAACCATTACCAACAAGATTGCGTTACAGTGCTGATCCTGGTTCAGCGCGACCAGTGAGAACTCAAACTCGAAGCTCAGCAATGGCAACATCTGATTCGCCGTCTGTTACTCAGCCTTTGCAAACCAAGTCAGTATCTGTGACCAGACGCAATCGGCATCAAACTTAATTTTAACAAATTACCAAAAATGTTTTCCTCATAATACCAGTTAACATAATATTTTTCTCCACCTACCATTTTCTAAATGAAAACATACATTTTTCATTTTATATATACTAAAAAAAAAAAAAAACAAATATCAACCATGCCAGTTTTTGAAAACGGCGTCTGATGCATTTATTTTCACAATTTTGCACCCAAAATTGAATTTGGCATTAGAGCTATTTATTTTGTTTTTGCATAAGTTTCTATATTTAAGATATCTTAATAATTACTCGAAATGTTTAAGCAATAGGAGAGCGTTATCTCTTGTGACTCAATTTGAATTAACCTTTCAGGTGTGCTTGTATACTTGTAGTGTTATACATTATTAATGCATGTCTCACCTTACTAAAATACTTGTATTAACAATGTTTATGTCTAAAAAATTTCAAGTACTCTTGTGTAAATAAATTATATAAATACTAATACTTAATCACTTATGTAATTTTGGTGGGAGTATGTAGTAACTAAAATGATTGAATTAAACCTCAGCTCTTAAATATTCTACTTTTCTTCGTTTTTCTTTTTAGAATTTGTTGATATAAGCATAAGGGTTTTATTTTATGTACATAACGTAAATATGTATGATACARTTAATAACTAATTAAAATTTGGTACTCTTTTTAATTTTAAAAAAGTACAAAAATGATTTCAACTTAATTTTAGCAATACATGTATTATTCATTTTTACTTTTTTAAACATATGTTAATGCCCATAGTTTTCGTGCCTTACACATATTTATACATCGAAGTCGAGAATTTATGTAAGAACTTTTCTTTTCTTTGTTTTGGAAGCGTCTCCAGTTCAATGATACCACCTGCGTGAGCCCCAATATGGGTCAAAGCACCGGATAGAATGCCAATCATGCACCAGCATAAATAAACTATTGCGATCGAAATTATGTAAATAGCCTAGCCTATTTTTTTTTTATTTTTTTTATTTTATTATTATCTTTAGTTATTTTTGGTTAAGATATAATTAAGTATTTTTTATGTTATTCAAATAAAAAAAAAATTCATTAATTGAAATTTAACAAACATTTTAGAAAAGAGTTCAAAGAAAAATTAATAATTAACCCAAAAAATAAAATGGAAAATATAAAAATATTTTACATAATGTTCTAAACTTTTACAAAAAAAAATATATATGTATATGTATATAGTATGTTAATATAGTTATGGACTTGGATTCATCTCTATAGATATGTACTATAGAAACAAATAATATATGTTTTATTTAAATGTAAATGTTTGTATCCCTCATTAATTTTTATAATAAAATAGAAATTATTAATATTAATAATTAAATATTTTAAGTTTTTTTTTTGCTGTTTTATTATTTAATTATATGTATTACATCTTTTTATTAATGCCCTCTTAAATTATAATTTTTCTATTGGCACTGTCAAATAATTGCAAATTTTAGRTGTAATAATTTTCCATTGGTTTTCAATTTCTAATAATTATGGGATTTGATTTGAATAGGATTCATCCAATGAAATTTCTTTATGCTACAATAAGATTTTTGCTTTGCATAGTTCAACATTTATTCTTAGCATATCTCTGTTGTCTTTAATACAAATSAACTGAAGTTTCTTTACCATGAAATAATAATTTAATATTTTATCTCGTCTTTTAACAAGATATTATATCAAACCCTTGTAGAAAATTATTAACAATATATTTCAATCAATAATCAATATGAAAGTTGTTATTACAATTAATGCAATACCAATATGTCAGTATTAAATGTCKTTCAATATTAAATCTCTCGTCGACTGATATTTGTGTTAGTTACATATAATTGTAAATTGGACCAATTAAATGTATCGATTATARCCAAGAGTATGTTTTTGATTTCACATAATTCTTGTTTAAATCAGTGAACATTTGTTTATATTCKTGATAACTGATACCATTGGATGTATACATTTCATCAAACAATACAAACAGGTAGACTATTTGAAAATAGTTCTTTATGTACAATTATCTTCAYCCTCTACCTCTTTATATAAGAATGTGAAGCGTTTAATTTATCAAAAACAATCAAAATTCAAGGTCTAAAATCTGTTTGTTCCATGTTTTTTTTAAATGACGAATTTATTATTTGTATCTTAAATTGATAAAAATCAATCCGCATTATATTAAATCCATATAAACTGAGGGTGTGTATATATGATTATAAAATATATAGTTAAAATAATCGATTTGCTCTACATACTCAGATTTATTTATTGTGTTAATTTATACAATACTGTTATTAAAAATGACTTTGCCTTTGGCGTATAAAATAATTTTAACCCTGGCCGTTTGGCATTTTGTATGTCAGTACCTATCCAGTTTTGATCTTCAGGTAATCCTGTACACTGGATAAAGAAAAGAAAGTATTCATGACTTTATGTTTGTCTTGCAATTTGTATAATATAATTATGCTTTCMGTGATATCCTTGTTGAATTTATTTGCCTGTTGTGGTTATATTATATGCATTTTTAATTTTTTTGGGAACTATTTGGTGTCTATATATTAGTTTATTTATTTATTTTTTTTTTTACTTCAACATGTTTCTTGTAGATGTCGAAGATGCAATTTTACAACTTCATAAATAATTAAAATAAAATGTTAGTCAATTATATTTTAAATATGTACATTGTTAGTATGAAACAGTAAGACCATTGTACCTTGAGACATTATGTCCRCCCACTCAACTAGTTTCTATGCCATAATCTTACATTTTCATTCAAAACATTAAAAAACTTTTGTGATGTTAAAAAATTTAAAGATCAATCTTTGTATAATATTTAATATGACATATTTTAGTTATTTTTGTATATTACATTTTTGAACAGTTGGATTAGAATTACAGTGTCAAAAAACTATTAAAAAACTCATCACATTATTTTATTATTAATAGTTAATACTAGAATTCTATCTTAAATAGACAAAAACTTAAATGTTGCATTCATGGTTTTTTTCAATTGTAAACAACATTTTTCCCAATTTTTATGTATAATTTTTTWATTATTATGTAATTATAATGTAATACTGAGGTTTGTTGGTTAAGCTCTCATTTGCCAGATTTGTTTTGTAAAATAAAATACAAATTATACTGTCATTTTGTAATATAAACTTGTCTATATAATACATAATAATATGTTTATTGTTTTAATTTTAAATTCTGAAGTTATTATAGTTTTGAATTTAAAAATGTTGACATATTTTCCAATTTTGCATTGCACAATAATTAACTAAGGTTTCTTATTCAAAATTTTACTTCCTAGTTATACCCTTTCACATTGCCAAAATAGTCCTCGAAATATGTCTTACATAATATTTTGTTTAAATTAATATTCGCATATTAATTTTGCGCAGTTATTTTCATTGATTTGTCAAGACAGACATGCGCCTGCTAATAAAAATTGACGTCAATAAATGAGRTCGATAAGTGTACTTATAAAGTTAAAAATAAAATGATACGACATTAGTTATAAAAATTTTACCCTAACACCTGTAGAGATGCTGTAGGCCGTGACACTTCTACGCCTTACACTTGCATATTATATCTTTTATTGTATAATATCAAATCTTCATTGGCTCTTCTTTTCAGGTTATTTTGAAAAGTAAAATTTAYGGTTAGTACTGCACACGAATTCAAGCGTTGTACAAAATAATTTATAATATTTTTATTTAATATATAAATATACTTACTATACTTTATTTTTTATATTTATGGGCACTTACCTATATTTTGTTTAATAATGTACAATAWTAATTAAAAGAACAAAAAATAAAAATTCAAAATTTCTTTAATGCCCATTTGTTAATACGGTTTATCATGCCTAATTTATATTAATTGTGATATATTATTACTGCACCTACAAAAGAAATTTAATACTTTTCGTACAGGTAAGTACAAATTACTGAAAGTGTGTAATTGATAAATTCATTATAATTAATATGTTTACCATGAGTGGTACATTAAAAAGTATAATTATAATATGACAACCATTTAGAAAGAGTTATTGGCTTTCCGCTGTAGGATTAAAGTTGTTGCAGATGCAGACACAACACAACTACATCCGATTTGGGTCCCGGATTTTAAATTACTACACCTACTAGTTGGGTCCTGTATTGTGTAGGTTCTACCTTAGTTGGATCCCAATTTATATTAGTTGTTAGGTAATAACTTATTACCTACAATTTTACACTAGTTGAGTCCCCAATATTTTTTGAAAAGTGCAAAATTATAGGTACTAAAATTTTTCTTCCGATTTTATTAGATCTGTCTCTATGTTCTATTTAAACTTATGGTTGGAAATGTTTTTTACAGTCTATTTTTTTTTAGTTTTTTACTTCATTTAGATTTAGATGCTCATTGCTCAGGATTGTACCTATTTYACTATTTGTATTAAATAATAATTTATACTTTTCATTGTAAAGAAATTGTGAAAAACACTTAACCACACCTTTAGTTTAAAAGGATTCTCTTAATTATTTATACATGATATAAAATGTTGGGTTTTCTTTGTAGTCAGTCAACCTATTTTATATATTTTTTCCTTCTTTTGAATGTTCCTAACAATGTAATACATATTGAGCTAAAAATGTTTCTAATTACCTTTCATTCGAATATTACCACTCTACTGCAATTATCAACCTGCGTCAAAGACCATATGTTTCTCATGCATATGTAATTATTGGTCTCAGTTAGCTTGTATRGAGCAAAGTTTTTAATTTTCTAGAATCTAGATAGTAACTTAGGTTTTAGTAGCTTATACTTCTACCACGATATAGCCCTGGTTTCCACCATACAGCTACTTATTCTTTCACTATTATTTCTCGATGCATGTCATTTTTACTATTTATGTCCACTCCTTCGTATTTTAAATTTTCCGATTTTTCAAAGGTTAAATTATTTAGTTTTAAGTTGGCCTGATTTACACACAGCCTCATTTTTTTACTAGCTTCGAACAATTCCRATATAGTCTAGGGTTGTCTTGTCTGGTGTGTTACCTAATATGAYTATTGACTATGTACCTATWTTATAAATGGGTCAAATCATTTATTATTTGATTTATGTAGGTTGTAGGTAGGTTTGTCTAATGAATTGTTTTAACTTGGACAGGTCTAATTTTTTTCAGAATCAGATAGATATATCAAATCTACTGTACCGTACAGTAGATTAGTCGGGCTCGACTGCASGATAATAATTAATATCATGAATTAAGATAGGTATGTTTGAAMGGATGTTTCTATAAACAATTATTTAATCATTATAAATCGCATAAAAATTAAACACGTATTAATAATGATATAATCCATTAATATATAGGTATATACATGCATATAATAATGTATAATATTATAATATAAACAAATAGGTAATATATGGATTCGTGATGCTCAGATATTATTATTTATTGCTTTTGGTATTCTGATTTGAGTATAATATTCAACATTCAATATTGATTTCAAAACCAGTTGGCTGAATGAAATATACGGCCTATAGGTTGGGCCGGTACCTATAAATATAGGTATATATATATATATATATACCTATATCAATTGTATATGGTTTATTATGGTGTCATAATAGGAAGAGACAATGAAATCACGAATCCGTCACTGTCGTCTGCGACGTCTATTCATTAGTGTTAAGTTTAATTAGCCAACAGAGTTCTATATAACTTCTAATGATAATTTAGATTTTAACACTCGTACTCGATATACACGTATAGGTACTTACAACAATCTGCGATATTCAAATGTATAAATCTATATTAATATGATTTATGTTAGGTTAGGCACTTCTATTTTGTAGGTATCTTAATAGATCTATAATCTTGAATTTTCACTCTCATATTGAAATGTTATGTTGCAAAGCTTTAAAAACGCTTGGGTTCGTAATACGTATTTCGAAAGAGTTTAATCTATATTCTTCACTGAAAACAATCTATTGCTCCTTGGTCCGTTCCTTATTAGATTATGCATCTGTCCTATATGGGACCCTTATTATAACGTAAATTAGCGGACTCCTGTCAATTAGAACGGCGTGTTCAGAGACGATTCCTATCTTGCGCAGCTTTTACATTAAAAATAAAACATCCTCCCCATGACTACTCTATAGTTATGCAGGAACTATAGGTCTCGTCTCATTAACAGACAGGAGAGTTAACACCAACGTAGAGATTTTGAAAAAACTAGTGGATGCATTCACATGGTCGCTTGGATGCTCCCTCACTTCTAGTATTGGTCAATTTCAAGGTCCTTTCTCGCTCTATTCGCCATCATGTCCCATTCTTAATTCCTACGCACACTACGATGAATTATGGCAGAAATAATCCTATTGATCGCATGATGCGACTGGTCATTGAGAGTACCATTTATCATAATATATTTTAATATTGAACATTTTTTTTTGTTCTACTTTACTATTACTATTTTATATTACCTATTATTATTATTATTAATTTTATTATTACTATTATTGAATTATTATCATRTTTAAACTTTTATATGGTATCTTAATTTTTATTGTTTTGTGTTAAATTGTTGTAAAGAGCTTTGCCCGTAAATATATATATATATAACAAAATTATAGTATTTGATATTGAATTACATAAGTATCTACATAGAGGTTAGTGTTTACGCACCATTACAATATATAAGATGCCCTGTGATAGGATATCCCCATTATCCGTGGACTTGCCGCCCGGGTAAAAACCAGTGTTTTGCCGTTTTATCTATAAACTAAAAAAAATATTAAAAATCATGTGATTAATGAAAATAGAATGTCGAAAAGTCAACATTTTCAGCAAAATAACATTTATAGGTATCTTAATTTTTTCAAAAATTAAAAAATATTTTTTTTTACTTWTTACCAAAAACAGAAATAAAATATATATTTACCCATTGTCTATGTGAGTCTTACATAAAAAAACAGATTTATGATATATATTTATTATCTCAGGAGGCATCACAATGGTCAATAAGCAAATCTTCGCGGAACATTCTGTACCTATATATGATGATGTACGTAAAAATTTTTTGAATTATTATATTATGTAGGTACCTATATATAATGACATAGGTAGTGTATTTGTTGTATAACTATAATGTTATCATGTAATGTTTATAGAACCTGAAAAAGTTGGCCAAAAAATTTGCGAATAATGTTATGATAACGTTAAATAATTTTCTGTTACTCTGAAATTAATATTATAATCACTTTTTTTAAATTTAATAATATTAACATCATGTTAGAGTAACATTATTTTGTTGTCTGGGAATTACGTGGCACTAGTGTCTGTTATTCTAGTGGAAAAAAGCGTTATTGATATTGAAAAGTTAATTTCATCTAATTATGTCTTCCTAAGAAGACAATTTTACTGAAGTGCCGCCCAGTAAACATTACTTAAAATATGGTCTGAATTATACTTATATACCTATATTGGCTATATTATATACAACCATGTTAATTTTTTCATTAGATAATATAACATTTAATACGACCAAAAAATCGTGACTACAATTTAAAAGAGAATTTTATGTTATAAATAATAAAATTTAGGTTTTAACTATAATTTTTCAAAAAAAAAAAAAAAAAATGAAGAAGGTATTGGTATCTATGTATTTAAATTATTTTATCATACGGAAGAAATTACAAATACATAGAATTTTACGTAATTTACCCTTTTATAACTTATTTGAAAGATGACAATCAATAATAAATGATATTGTCATAATTTAAGTCAAGACTCAATCACTTTTCAAATGTATTATTGGTAAAAGCTAATATCCGACAAGGTCCTCCAGTACCTCCTAGAATCTTGATTGGTTGRATAATAAGTTTGAATCCTCTCGATGGTAATGTCGTACCATTTAAAGCTACGTTTTCGAGATTATATAAATTGGCTTTAGACAGTATTTTGTGCACATCAAATGATGTTGAAATACCCGGATCAACACTCGGGCCATCTACTCCTAGGCCGAATACTTTTTTAGAATCGACAATCCATTGTGCTGCGTCTTTAGATAATCCTGGAAAACTTCAAAAACATAATAGGGGTAATCATATTATACTTAAGAAAATKAATAGGTAACTCATTTATAATATTATAAATTAATAAAAATAAGATCCATATAAATAATGAATGTAATAATTTGATGCAGTAGTCGATATGTACAAAATACTTAAATAAGTTTAGGTTAGATATATAAACGTTAACTATTGTAGTATGTTGGTTGAGAAAATAATTTATAATATAGGTAGGTACTGTTGCATGTTATATTAACAATTACCAAATAAATAAAATACCTTAATACTGATCTCTCGGTAACATTATTATAGTACAGTTGATAATTGCCAAACTTATGAGCCCAACCGAAATTGACTAATACCACAGAACGTTGTGGAAGTGGACCATTGTCGTGTTCCCATTGCTTCAAATGATCGACCGTAAGTAAAAAGTCACTGTTTCCATTTACTTCATGACTGACATTTAGATGCACACCTATTGTTTACATTTAAACGTAAGTACCTATACCATTTAAAATTATGTTATGATCGTTATGATTTCTATCTGCCTCTGAGCACTACAAAATTCTTTAAACATTATAGCTACCTATAGTATTTTTCAAAATATTCCGTGATGGCTGTGTAAAATATTTGAATAAAAAAACCGTTACGCTATGAAATATATCATACCTACAAGTGGCTACAACTGTTMMAATTTCCAAATTGAAAAGAATAATATTTTTATTTTGTAGATTGTATTTGAATCATTCAGAATATCTTACGGATTCATGATATAAATATTATAATTATAGGTACTGATTGATGTGTATACATTTTATTATATAATTTAATGTTAAGAGTGTTAAGACCATTGATATTGATGCACACAAAGTGGTTCTGAAATCGCCAACCTAATTGTGAATTAGGAAAAAAAATAAACTTTTAATTATAGCTGTAAATGGTTATCGCCTCAGTTTGAACAGTTATGAAAATAACAAACAAACATTCGTTCTTTGAACCACACGTARTCTGTTAAAAGCTAAAATCTGCTCAGCTCACATTCAGTCAACATTAAACCTATTATTACGAGTAGGTACCTACCTACAAAAAAATATTTTATCAGTTATGATACAAATTATTAGATCAAAATTTGGATATTTTTTGAAAAAGATCCTTAATATTTTTCGAATACCTACTTTTTTTTATTCGAACATTATCGGGTCATCTCATCAATATAATATATATTTTTATACTAATAGATATTTTCTATATTTTATTTTTATTTTACCTTCAACTACCATGCGTTCCAGTGGAATATCATCCAATTTCCATCCGTCCTGATAAAAATGATAAGGTGCATCTAAATGAGTACCACAATGTTCAGACATTGAAAAGCTCTGTGTTGAATACCATCCATTGGGTCCTGTGCCTCTCTTAGCTCCAAATATTTCGAACCGTTGCGATGTGGTCCAACAGGTAGTAGATTGATTTYGATAGCCATGACTTAAATCAATCACAATACACTTGGCTTCCCTTATCACCAAAATCGCCAAAATCCACGCAAATAAATACATGATATATAATTACAATTTACCAATAAAATAACGAAACACTTGATTTATTAACAATTAATATATGTGACTCTACATGCAGTCTACGCTACGGACAGTACGATCTACTTTTAGCATATTATATAGTAGGTAAAAACAACTATATACTCCTTGCTCACGCCTCGATGCCTCGTAATGCTATTATAATTTATCAAGTAGGTATAGCTGTATATCTATATATAGGTACTATGCATAGATTAGTTAATTACAATATTAAGTTAATATTGTTTCTGATATATCAGTCTAATTTAATCAGTATGAGGTTATTATATAGGTTACTATAGTTTATAACTATCATAAGTATTAATATKTAATTCATAGGTATTCGGTGTATTATAATAATAGTATGATTGTAACATTAAGTACGTATTATAAAGAATACTTTGGTAAATAATTGATAAATCAGTAAATAAATACTTTTACATTTTCATAAAATTATTTAAAATTTTATCAAATATAAGCTATATTTATATAAAAATAAAATCATCTAAAATCTAAATAATTATTTGTTATATAATACGTTTAAAAAAAAAAACATAGAACTAATATTAGGGATTTATCTTGTTTTGATCACCTATAATCAGGTCACATACCTAGTGCTTAAAAATGGTTTTATTTTTATTTTTTTTAATGGGTATAAATAATTCAAAAATAATTTTATTAGAATATTTTAACTTGTACCATATTTTGAATTACTATATTTATTTAAATACACATTTTTTGTGTAAAGTAATTCAAAATTTAAATGGCAACATCGCAGAGTTTTTTTGCTCAATCGTGTAGTTGTGCTTTTATACACAATTATAAAATGTAATGCAATTTTCAACAAATTTTWAATTAATTTTGAATTATATTCGAGACACTGTACAAAGTGTGACTGTTATACAATAAGTAGTCTTGCTTAGTATCTAGGTAAGTTAATTTATATTTTCAGAACAAAGAAAATGGAACACTATTAGATCAAATTCGTTTGAATAATAGTAGGTACTAGGTAACGATAATAATTTTGATCATTGATATATTCYTGGTCACATATTACTCACRTTTCCGATWTGGAGAATACGATTAGTTTAGGTAGGTATGTATGTAATGTATATCAGTATAGGTACCTATGCCGTTGTATTATCTCTGATACTATTTACTAAAATTAATGATATTATATCTATTTGAAGTTTGAACTATGGAGTATGGGATATATATCTATATATATATATATATATTATACATGTGTATGGATACAGTCATACAGAATAGGTATGTACCTTTAGTCCTTATAGTTATTAGACACACTATTAGGTACACTATACCTACATTGTTTAAATTGCTATAAATATGGTAAATATTTAAAAAAAACATAAGTACCTACATAAATTAAAAATTACAAGAAATAGTCCATATTAGTCTATACTTTTTCTAATCTATTTTAAAAGTATAGTGCCAATAAACTGATGGTTATAATAAAAATGTTAACAACATTTAATAAGTGTAGGTAAGAATATAGTAAATGAATAGCTCTTGTGAAGTTTGTCACCAAAGCTAAGTTTAATTGAAAATACAATATAGCCAATATAGGTATTAGATAAGTAGGTTAGGTGTACATTGCCATATGAGCTGTTTTTCAGTTACCTACCTCTTGAGGAAACAGGTTAAAACGATGGCCTACTTTGTAATGTCTAAACAGTAAATCTTAAAATATATAAAGAATATATGACGACTATTTGACTATCTATTATTAAATATTTGCGAGTTTTTTTTTATATATAATTACATGCATTGACATGAAAATTTTATTTGACTTAAAATGCATAATATATAGATTTTTATTTACAATATTTTGTTTAAATACAAGTTCAAGTATATCAAGTAGCAAGTACTTACAGCATACAGCTCAATAGCTGGTAATATCATATAGGTTCTAGCTATTATGCATATAATGCATATATAATATATATATATAAATTATATATATAAAATGTTATATTTTCATTTCTATATAATGCATTTATACATAGGGTCTTGATCTTGCACAAACAATTTTCTGAATATAAATTATTATAGACTATAATAGGTACTGCAGTACTGTTATGAATTTGAAAAAAGTATTATTTTAAATGGCCCATGAAAAGGTCATTTCRTGAACATCAAAAAAGAAGCCTTCGAAATAATAGCATCACATTCTCACGAAAAAAAAACTAAAATTAACACTCGAGTGGCAACTCGATCGTCACTTTCAAATTTCAACCATTCGAGGTTGAATTAATTTTACACTATCTAAACGTTAAAATGTCCCTATCTTTTGTGCGAATAAATTTACATAGATAATAAATCTTAAATCAGTCTTTAAATATATTATAAATATAGGTATACACAAATCACGAATATAGGTATAGAGTCCAGTCATCAATTAGACAGTGCCTACATATCRTTAGGTATATATAGTCATTATTGTGTAAAAATTATTGATACCTAATAAAATGCATCTACTTACAATATTAATTCAGAATCATTTCATATTTTTATCACCAAAAGTTGGACATTTAGAATAATTTTCTCCTTATATTTAACTATTACAAAATGAGTCTTATAAAGTTATAAGTTTATAAGYTTATAACCGAATGAATCTTATGGATGGAGTGGAAAATAACATGAATTTAATTTTATTACATATTATCTAGCTTTTATTTTAAACTATAAGTAAGTATACTTTGATGCATACAGCATAGTAGCATATACATTATATTACACATTACTATTATTAGTAGATACCTAGATGAAAAAAATATAATTAAAAATTGTACATACACACATTATAAACTATAAAGCATGAATCAAAACTAGTAATAATMAACAAAAATATGTTATTTTAATGAAAAAAATGTATTTCTTAATTTTTACCAAAAATTTTTATTTTCTACCATCTTTTTACGAAATTCAGGTGTTATAAACGAAGTAGTGATGAGTCTTATAACCGAATTTGTTATAATGTTTTAGGATACCTACCTACGTCCGGACCGTTTCAGAGATTTTGAGTCTTATAAGTGGCGTCCACTGTATTATAAAATTAATTATTTTTTAAGTCTGATAGACAAATTCTGCTTATCCATGTGAGTAGTACYTACGACCTACTAATTATAGGCACCTACTGGCCAATGGAAATCTTGATCCCCATTATTAGCTACAGAATTAAAAAGCACATCGTTTTGGAAAACCAATTAGGTATATATAGTTTATATATATATAGTCGTTTAGCAAAATTTTTCATTAGTTCATTATTTATGCATTTAAATTTGACACGTTATTTGGTCTGGTAACTTTACTCTTCGTTATTCAGTAACAATGAGAGTGAGTTACTTGTTTTAATAAAAAATATGCCTACCTATATATTATTATGTATGAAATATGAATACTATAGTGACTTAATTATAAATTATAATATGGTCTAAAGACGTATATTGTTTATCAATTGAATTGTGATAAATATTTAATGTTTGTTATGCCTATGTCATGAATTACTTTCGCTATGACTTAAACAATATGTGTGTACAATATATACATCATGAATGAAGCTTTAGTATAAAAAATATTGTAATCTTTTGTTCCTTATATAGCGTGTATTAGTGTTAATATTTACAAGGAGTCAAAGACAAGAAACATGATAAATGTATATATTTTACTATTATATACATAATATTTATAGACATTTTCAATTTAGTCGTTGTTTATGACACAATACGTATAATATTACTATAGGTATCTGCAGTATATATTTATACAGGATTTGATTTTAAAAAATAAAGTAATCTGCTTGCATATACTGAAATGATGGGTTGGGAATTGTGATACTATACATTTGAAAGCAATGATAAACCGCCGCCGCCGCAAAAAAAAAAATAACGGGAATGTCTACGAAATAATACTATCATTTTAAAATCGAATATTACTATAATACTATATGTCTATGTCTATATGTATAATGGCTACCCTGTCTCATTTGKTCACCATTTTTTCTAAACGATGACTCTCGTTTTTCACTACTTAGCTGATTTCTTCTCACTTCAAACAGACTTTTATTAGGACTATATTAAAACAGACGTGGTTAAAAATGTGTTAGTGCATTTTTTTTTTAATTTTAAATGTAAAAATAATTAAAGATGTACCAAAAAACTATAAAAAATATATATATATTTTTGCTACCTATATAAAAATTGAAGTTATATAAGCAATCATATAGGTTAGGTATATTATAAATCATAAATTGGAAATTGGTTGGTGTTTTTTTTTAAATTTTGTATGAAAATTAAATATAAAAAATTCCAGTAGCCGAATWTAGAGGAGCCGTTTGTGAATTTATGTATTTATGAAACCTTTTTGGCGGAAGCCGTTTAAGAACTAACAAATAGTGGTTAAGAACCGTTTGGATTGCTCTGTATATAATATGGGCATGCATAATACTTGTGTGTGCGTCCCAAAAAGGTATTTTTTATAGGGCTAAAACAAAATTGAGCATAAAACAACTTAAAACCTCTTAAAAATATCAACGAGATTCACTTTTCCATCAAAAAAGGTGCTGAAGTTGAAAACCTAAGCATTATTTATACTCTACAAAAAATGATTAGACATAAATAAAAACGCTCATCTTTGAAAAATCAATACGTTTATGGTTTATTGCTTTGTTCAAAATCTTCTAATACGTATGTATTACCTCCTAATATTTTAATATATAGATACCTATGCATTGATCATTATGGACTATGCGAAAATAACAAGAAATGAATCGATTTGGGAATGTTAGATTATTATACGCATAGACGCTAGGTATATTTTATTGGAAAAAAATCTTCCATATGAAGTTTTTATTWTAAAATAATATTTKATTTTTAAATTTATTCATAACTTGATGTATGAAATATTACTGCAGTTACCTAATACTGCAGAAATATTACCCAAATCAGAAGAATTTTCGTTTTCTTAAAAGCAGCGATTTTCTCTTTATCCACGGCTGTGCTATATCTATACGTAATGCGTAGTATATGGTATATAATAATATATATAAGTATATAACATATTATTGTCATATTGATACATATAAAAGTTAGTACTTAACCTGACTGCAGCGCATCGACTGTCTCCTAATCTCCTTTATAGCTGATACTCTCCCAGAGACTTAATGAACAATTCACTACTCAGTCCTTCACGCGGGGGCGTTAAGGTCCATTCGAATATTGTATATATAATTATATAATAWACAATCTTACGGATCCGTGACCTGATTCGTGGCCTGTGCACGTATAATATACATATATATTATAATATCATATTATGTATAGGTATTGTACATAGTATGACATAAATTTATTCCGTCGTGTGTACATTGTCTATACATCTGCAGCAGCGATTGTGAAGATTGCGCAGAAAACTTAACGCGCGCGCTGATGACACTATATATTTATATTATGTTCGGTTCTTATACCTATACATATATATATAATATTATTATAGAATGGGTATGTATGTACCAACTGCAATTGCCCACTCCAAATTTATCTACAACTACATAATAATAAGTATAAATTCGCGAAATATAATAGAAATTATGTATATAGTGCATGCGATGTATATATTATTATTAATCGCGTATGTACACAATCGAGATACTATCKCTCGGTTCAAGGGCAGTCTACATATGTAGCTCATCATAACAACAACAATAATGATAATATTATTTATATTGTTCTACATATTATTATTCATTATCATTTATCATCATCATTACTGTTGCAGCAGTACTTAAACCTATATATACGTATATTGTATATAATATAGTGCTGGTCGTTTTCTTCGTTTTTCGTGAAAAGGAAAAGGGAATGGGAAGGTATTTGTGTATGTGTATGAGCGTATAGGTAGGTACGCTACTATAGCAAAATTAATTATTACCTACATTAATTATTTTATTAATCYAGCAATTTCTCTGCGGGAGAAAAAAAAACCGAACAATACAATATAATGTATATATATTATATAATATAAATGATGATGATGAACACGTTGGGGGTGCCTTGATGGTCTGCTGCTGCAGTCTCTCACACACGCTCACATATATTATCTAAACGTCGTACCCACTCTATGTAGAGATAGCGTTTGTGTGTGTATAATATATATATATATATATATATAAATGCGCGTCTTACAGAAAAGTATACATATACGATATATATATATATAGCATAAAGGTATACAAATAAATATATATATATATATATATATAAGCACCTAGCGCTCCTCGACTAGTCGCAATAACAGAATGACAAGTGACGCGACACCCTGCAGACACTGGTCGTTTTGTCTTGTATAACAACATTATTTTAGTAGCTTAGCTTATACCTATATTATTAGTATATCATATTATACAAATTCAAATATTTTATCGGTCGGTCTYTTGCAGCAGTCGCCATTCGCCGTTACAATGGTGAACTTACGATTGTATTTGGTCGTCAACATTTTAACAGTGAGTGATTATTAATTATTATATTATATATTATTATTTTATTATACCTATGTAGTGTTTAATGATTTCAAATTTGTGTAATTGACATAATTACATACTATACATAAGCACAACTAGTTCTTAAAAGTTTTGGGTGCTAAAATTATGCAAAGTTCAGCATGCAAATTATCTTATTATCCTATTCCCTTTACTCCTTTATCCAAAATACTTTTATCAGTATCAATAGGTAATCAATTACGTAAATAAAATATAAATAATAAGTAAGTCGTAGTAGCTATACCTCTCTAAATTTCTGTATAAAAGCAATTCTCCATTCATAAATTGAATATCTTTARGTAAGAAAAATATCTTAATAGTTTATATTAACAGTCAACAACTTACTGGCAAACAGTGGAAGGCAGAAAACTGGCCTGTCAAAATGTCTTAAATTTTTTTTGTCTTCACATCACTAGGTACTATAAAAATATAAAGATTTGATAAAAATTGTTTTCGTTGGACCATATTATTTATTTAATATTTTAATCATCCAGGCTCCATTAGAAATTACGTCTTTTCCCAACCACTAGTTTATAATATTGATTTGTTAAATCTTTTTAAATATTTAAAAATGATAAGTTTTAAAACCGTTCTTAGCCTCTTAGGTATGTCATGCTAGCATAGGTGGAAATCGGTGGACAAGTGATGGTGATTATAAGTTGGAACCACCCAAGCCACCCACCCCTTGAAAGTTTTAGGTAAAAAYCCTTTAACTTTAACCTTTTAGATCCCTTTATATAGGCCCTTACAAAGTTACAAATATGAAATACTTCTCAGTAACTATTCTCATGTAACTTTTCAGGAGGGGGCAAAATAACAAAATTCACAAATTTTTTATTTTATGCTATCAATATTATGCTAATATTTATTAAATTATATAAGTTCATATAATTTTTCCAGGGAGGACTACACGTGCCCCGTCTTGCCCCCCCCCAACCGATGGGCACTCATGTATAAAACTAAAGTTATACTAAAATACAATTATTGACTTATAAGTTATAAGGTTATAACTACGTTGAACATTTTTAAATAATTAAATACGACAGTAGATAGTTAATCTACAAGTTATAGGTAACTTAACTATATGTGTTTTTGCTTCTTTTGAACCTATAACTACAATATTATATTGATAGGTACCTACGGCAAATTTGATACAAAGATCGTTCTGGACGCAAATAACTCGTCACTAATAGAATAAGTAAATTGCATCCTAACAGTCTGGAGTTCTGATATACAAATGCCAAATGGTACTTATGCACAGTGAACATATACGAGGATTACAATGGTGCATTTACTGGGGTGGACTCTAGGTCCAAGCCACCTCATAAAACACGCAAAATGTCAAATTGATCAAAAACTAAAATTATATCTTCCCATTACCTACATATTTTAATTGATAGGAGAGGTGTACATTTAGTATGTTAATTTCTATAACAACGGTTCATAGAATTTTCTGATTTTAAACTTTTGGAAATGGTCTTCTCATAATAATTACGTAGGCGTATTACTTTTTTGAATCTTGAAAAAATCCTTGTTGCACCATTGACATACTATTATCAATATTTTATTGATTCAAAAAGATAGATGTAAGACGTGTAATACAAGTTCAACGAAAATCAATCACATATACCTAGTAGTTTATTATTTTAACAACATTGTTAGGATTGTACATTTGTACATGTCAATGAGTATAACCTGATGACTGATGAGAATAATTCAATTTCATAAAAATTTTAAATTGCATATACCTTAAATTTAAAAATTCATTATAAATATACAATARCAATATAAATTAGGTGTAACTTCAAACTTCAATATGTAATATTATTATTAAACTTTTTTTTTTAACTTCTTATAACTACCTACCACTAGTCACTTGTAAATGGTAATTTTATGAATTAATTGTACGGTATGTGCTTATATTATATATAGGTACTATTTGCATCAATATAACCTTTATACATTACGCGATATTTATTTCCATAAATAAAGATTATYATTACATAATCTTTGCTACCATTGATGAGTACCTATATAGTAGTAAACTAGTAATCATATTATATAATAAATTATTCATGTTATGGTACAAATTCCCTTATACTACCTAATAGTATAGTTTAAGTAGTTAGCATAATATTGTAAATAGATACAGAAAACCTGGATATGAATACCTATTCGGGTATACCTATCTAAACATCACCCATCGCCTATATACCTACCTAATTTAAAGTTAAAAGTTACAACACAAATATGGTATACTCATTATTATACTACAATTATATAGTCATATAGCCATATAGGTTATATATATATATATATATGTTGAAATATTGTTTGATATATTATACATATCAAATTAACTACTTTTTTAAATTAGTTAGACCTATCTATTATGTAGTTAATTGAAAAAATATCTATGTATTATGTAGTACGGTTGTTGTCGAAAATAGCTAATCATTTTTTTCCCGTATCTAAATCAAAACAAGAACAAAACAAATCGAAAATGACATTGAGAAATCTGAATTTGAAGTAAATTAATAATAAACTCATCCTGAACCCCTGACTATAACATAATAAAAATGCATAATCATGTTTTATTAATACTATCACACTATAATAATATGAAACAATTCCATAACTGTGTTTGCTTCAGGTGCTGCTAATTCATGAAGTTGTGTTCTCTAAATGCGATTTGAAAACCAAWATGTATAATCATTTCACTAAATCATATGAGGATGATGAATTCCAAAGAAAAGAAAGACAAGTACCAATAGGTATGGTAATATTTTATATCAGTATGAACGATTTAAACCCATATATTAGGCGCCTATACACAATATTGTAATATTTATAAATTTATAATTTGGAACTGATACCTGCAGATACCTAAAAAGCAATAACCGCGAGTTTGTGAMTGTCGTGCAGGATCTCTTACTCTCATCATTTCAAACTATGTATTGAACGTTTTTTATTAATCTTCCGCATGAATGTATCAAACAATAYGTTTAAAAAACATTGCATTATATAATATTTTAAAAATGAATTAAAAAAACATTAAATTATATAGGCAGTATATAAAATATGAATTTAAAAGATATGTTTTAGCCCTAATAATTGAAATTTGAATGTTTGGTAGGTACCTACAAACTATTGGTATAGACGGTATGGGGATATGCTATGCCGGATCCGCACGGGATAAAAAATTAAAAACATAAATCCACACATCAGACAAGGCAATCTTAATTCTTAAGTGTTTTTAAAAACAGAAGCACAACAAAAATCAGACTTTCTGTGAACTCGACAATAAGTACCGTATACCCATAGGCCGGGATACCTAGCTATAGTCCCTACATACGGGTAGTTATCCGTTACCGCCAAATCGGACTATATAGAAAATAGAAAAGACTGGAAATTATAAGGTAGGTACTAGGTGGGTATAGTGGTGAGCCGTAAATACATCAGTATCTTCATCTTCTTCACCTTCAATAACAAATCACTAATTAGTAGGTACATAACGTCACAACATATAGAACATACCTAATATATATACGAACATGTAGGTTACACGCTATCTACTTGATGTAATTATATTACCAGCTTATAATTTGTTTCCATCCTATAAATAATATTGTAATTGTAGCCATACTCAGCATAGATATAATTGTAAATCGCAGATGTCTGTACCAATTTACCATACTATACCTACCTACCTTTATAATGGGACGTATCTATAGACTGCATTTACCTACGTGTTGTATGCGGCGGTTCCGAGTTGCGTGCGAAAATCGTTTTCTGGGTCGAATTGCGTGCGTGGTTTTTTCATAACAGGGTTGAGTTGCGTGCGCGGTTTTTCTGTGACAGAGCCGWKTTGCGTGCGAGATACAGTGTTGATGCCGCACGGTGTGCCAGATTTATTTACACTAAATAATTAAAGAATACATTTATTCTTCGAATACAAATTATTAAAACAATATTAATTCAAGTGATAATACAATAAAATTATTAGGTATCTCGTAAAAACGATTATATTTAAATATTTTATATGAGTAGCAAAAAATGTAATTTAAAATTAGAATTACTGT